ATATTTTGGGCATGTAATCGTATGAAATTATTTGCAATAGAACTTGTAAATAAAGAGTTTTATGTGAAAAACTTTTTTAAATGTGTTTTGGGTGGGTTTGAAATGAGATAGAAATAAAAAGCAGGTGGAATAGGCAAAATTGGGCAAGGAGTACTGGTACCACGAGGCCCAGTGGACAAAGCGTACCAGTACTGTGTACCGGTACCACAAAGACCAGTGGACAAAGCCTACCGGTACTGCGTGGTCCAAGGGGCAAAGCGTATCGGTACTCTTTCCAAAATTTTGAAATTTTAAAACTGTTTTGCCAAGCTTTTGGGCCATGGGTTATTTGGTTCCAAGGATACTAATGGACTATAATAGGGTATAAAATGTGGTGCATCGACCTCGGTTCAATTAAATGAGAAAACGTACACGGGTTACACGTGTGGATTACGACCTCGATTAAAGGGGATGTAATTGAGGTGATGTCGAGTAATGCGACAATCACGGGTATTTTCGCGGGTTGACGGGTGGTCAACGGTTGTTAAAGGACCCCGGTTTTATGGGCGTCACAAGAATGAAAACTTAGTTGCAATCTTCAATCTTTCTTTAGCCTTCAAGTCCAATCTTCTTCACGTCACTTCTTTCGATTCTTGCCTTCAATTCACCTTCAATCCTTGGTTTGCCCTTTATTAGCAGCCCATCATATCAGTATATCTTTTTCCTAACTCAAACCCTAGCATCTATGTAGCATTACAGTTCAATTTCTACTCAAAAATAAGTCAGAATTCGCGTCCCAAGCTACAACAACCGCTGCAGCCCCATAAATCAGCGCAGTTGCGCTGACTATCTACCCTTCTAGAGCTGTAGCACTGCATGTAAAGCTGCGGCGCTGATCCCCTTTTATGCCTACAACTGCCCTTGTTGCTTAGTCCTCAATTAATCCAACACTTAGGCTACCAACGACCTTGCTTCCTTCCAAATCATGATCCTTACAAAACAAAATTAAAACACACAAAATGAATAAAATGGAATATAAAATACTTGAAAACTTGCAATTTCACCAAACCAAGAATACTCAATTAGTTAGTATAAAACCTACTCATCAAATACTCCCAAACTTAAATCGTTGCTTATCCTCAAACAAAATACTAAGAACAAAAACCAAAAAATTAACCATAACAACCACCTACTCAAACAATGGATCAATATGAATATGAATAATAGCCCCAAAAGTTACGGCAAATAATAATTCACGGAAAACTTCAAAACAATACAAAGTCTAAAAATTCAACATACTCCTTAATTTTACCTTCGCTCATGACCCTTTAAATGCATATGTATATCCGAATCATCACCCAGATACATTTATGTAATCAAACACTCCATAGGAGATACTCAGTATCAACTCTATGAACTTACATTTCACATCAACCTCTGCTAATTATGGCAAACATATAACCAGAAAGTCCAAAGTTTTTTCTTTTTTTTTCTCTCTCTCTTGTTTTTTTTTCTATTTTCATTCATTTGGTGAGTGCATTTTATGCTCCATCTCACCTCCTATTGAGCGAGTGTGTTTTACACTCCATATAACCTTCTTTTGAACGAGTACATTTTATGCTCCATCTCATTCTTAACATGTGTCTATGAGTGAGTGTGTTTTATGCTCCATCTCTATTCATCACATGCACCTTTCTTTTCTTTTCTTTTTTCTAAATCATGAAAGTTCAAACCAAAATAATTTTCAAAAACTTCCTTTTCTTTTTCAAATAACCCATCATATCTAAGATGTCCCCCAAACTTATATGAATACCTCATTTTGCTTTGAATGACACTTAAATAAGTTTTCTAGAGTTTCAATGAAATCTCCCACAAACATTTAGCCAAATAAATTATCTAAATAATAACTAACCAAATTGATGTATATGTGCTCTTGAAAGAGAGGATCACAAACAGTGTAAAATTAACTAGTATGTCAAACTATAGACTCAACATATTCATCAATTTCCCTTGAATTAACAACTAATCACATTCATTATTGGCCATAATCAAATTTACTCAACCCATTGCTCAAGTTGTACCAAAATATGTTATCTAAGTGCAAAACATAATATCTAAATGCATACCTAATAATGCAAACAAGAATACACACCCAAACTTAAACTAAACATTGTCCTCAATGTATACAACAGGAAGAATTAAGATAGAGGACTTCCCTAAGAATACGCTAGTTAGCATCATCGTCAACGTCTTTGTCGTCCGCTGAGTCGGTAGTGTATTCAGGAAACATAGGTGGACTACAAAACTGCAGTGGAGGTGTGCCTGAGTTGAAATCTCAGTTATTAAACATCTAGACTAGCACGAAATTGAAATCCATTGAATACTCCATGAATGGGTTCAATCGATGTGCAAGTCGATCATTGCGTCTAGACTTGTATCAAGATTCCCTACGTAACTCTTGTGTTCTCGATGCTATCCATGCATCTCATCAACTAGATTCTCCATAGGTGATTGAGATGAGGCAGCAGTAGGCTGAGGAGTCTCTGATGGTTCCCCAGAATCCATACATTGCAAAATGTCGACACCGTGGAGATGATGGAGAACCCTTGCTGCTACTTGATACTAATTTAGGCACTTGAGATGGAAGATTCTTATATAAATATAAGAGATTGGGACTTCCAAGTTGATGATTCAATGGAATTACGAGTGATTGGGAGTTGGAGAGAATGGGTTGTAGACCTTTGAAATGTAGGAGTAGGAGGAAATTTTGTATGCCGAAATACCTTAGATGTGCTGCCCTTTTAATTGCTGGATTTGGTGGGCTGCTGCACTATGGACAGCGCTACTACACTGATTTTTGCAGTTGGAAAGCACTGCTGCGCAGATTTTTGTTGTGCAGTTGCGATGAGGGACCAACAGGCAGGCAGTAATGTTCTCTTCCCACAATGATAGAGTGCATCCCGGGCTAGAAGCTTAAACTAGTATTTAGAAGAAAGAATAAGCAATATAGGCTCAGATATTGGTGGGTAGTTTGGACTGGTTTCCCTCCATCCTTTTTCCCTAGATTACTAAGTTTGCCCCACTTTTTTGTTAAATATGACAGTTATTGATTGGGGCAATGTGAAATAGAATAGTTAGTTTAGGGTGCAATGTGGAAGCTCTAGTAGTTGAAGGGGCAAAGTAAAAAAAGTATGATAGTTTAGGGGATATAAATGTAATTTACCCAACAATCAACCATAAACTTTAGTGACATGTTGGGCACGGGCACACACTTATAAGGTCAAATATACGATAGTTTGCAACGTTGGCAACAATTTTAGAATCATGATTTCCTAAGAATTTGACTTAAAGTTTAATGGCTAAAAAAATAGTTGCAAAAAATTAAGATTTTGTTATCCTTCAAGTGCTAATGTCCCCGAATTATTAATACACCATACTTCCAATCAAGTTAAGGTTCAATCAAAAAATTTGTAATTATTGTTATTACATAAAAAGGAAACTATAAAAATTGAGCATCAAAGATTCAATACCTCGAAATATAAAAAGGATCGACAAGGGGAAAAACAAGCAGAAGAGAAGTGTTTCAAAGCATTCTTACATGTGTGCATCGAAGCTTCTGCAACAATCAAGAAATGCTGCCTGGCACCTATTCCGTTCTCTACCAGCCAGCTTTTCTATAACTTCAATGCAGAGCCATATCATGCAAGAAATCCGCAACAATGACATTTTTTTAGATCGCAAATTCAGCTCCAAGATGTTTATACCAATAGAGCTTCTATTGGATATTGTACAGAAAGTTCATTAGTGAGAATCAAAGTCATTTTTATTTCTCCATGGTTGCAGGAGATAATAGAGGTTGATGATGCACAAAAATGATTTTGCACACCACCTGTCAAGTGTAGGTAATAAATGCAGTGAAATCAATGAGAAAATTAAAGAAGACACGATTTATAGTGGTTCGGTCAATTCGACCTACGTCCACTCTTCAATGGCTTCAGTTGCTAGATATTTTATTAATTCAGAGGTATGGAGAATAGAGATACAAGCTTTGAGAGAATGGAGAATCAAAGAAGGAGTGGTCTCCGGTCGTCGATCTGTCCTCTGTAAGTGTTGGTGGGGCGTGCCATTTTTTCTCTCGTCTCCTCACAGATTGGGGCTATTTCATAGCAGTTAAGAGATCATTCTTGTGGAGATCATGACTTATCCTTAAAACTACTTTATCGCAGCTAAGAGATCATTCTGGTGGAGATCATGACTTATCCTCAAGGTTACTTTATCGCAGCTAAGAGATCATTTTGGTAGAGATCATGACTTATCCTCAACGGAAGGAGGAGGTTGGGGAGCTCTTCATGAAACGTGGTCAAGCTTGGACCGTTTCCTTCGGTGGTGCAAATAAGCTTCTCATGCTCTCCTCTTGATGACGTGCTAAGCAAAAAGTCTAACCGGTTTTGGACTGTCTTGGGCTTGGTAGATTCAAAATGAGGTTGGGCTCCTCAATTGGAGTTGGACTTTAACACATAAATTGGACTATTTGGGCTTAACCCATCAGAGGTGATCACCAGAGAGAAGGCAAGAGCACTGAGCCATGGGTCAAGGAGAGGAGTTAGCGTAGACAAAAAAAAAAAAAGAGCTTTTACCCCAACCCATAGGGGTTTTTAAAAAATATGCCCAAAGAGGATTGTTTTCAAAGTATTTCCCAAAATCACACATTTTTAAAAACGTTAGTTAGAATGACGTTTTATGCAAAAGATGTTAGTTGGAGTAATGTTTTTAGCATAAAAATGTCAAACTAACCGACTTTTTTGTTTGCACTGTAGGCCATTTACAGGACCTAAAAACATCAATACAATTGACATTTGCAAACGTCAGTTGTATTGATGTTTTTACGTAATCCGAAAGTCCATTTTCTTCTTTCCTTCTCTCTTATTTTCTTCCTTCTTTCCTCAATTCCTTATGAGCCCTAACCTCCTTCAGGCGACAAATCTACAGCACATCCTTTAGAAATCAACAGCACCACTAACTAGAACCACCAGCCAGCACCACCAACGAAATCTCCCCCAAAATTCCACCACCATCGCCTTTTTCCACCAAAATCTACAACCAACTCCACCACCCAAGGTGAATCTCCTCCATCAGAAATCTCATCCACCACCACCTGAAACCCATCACCACCTCCATCATAAATCCCCTCCACCAATAACTGAAACCCACTTCCACCAGCTTTCATTCCAAACCCATCTCCACTTACAACACATTGCCAAATTTCCACCACCATTATCATCCCAAATCAACTCCACCACATATGAAAACCACCATTTTCTAAAACCCAACTCCAATCGACAGGATCCACACCACACCGCTGCTGCTCTTCCACAACTGCTAGCTAGTAAGTCTGTGTATAATAATGTAATATTATTGTTATTAGTTATAATTGTGTTATTTGTTGTAAGTATCTGTTAATTTTTAATTTAAATTTTATTTAATGTTAATTTCAATTCTATGTTAATTTAAATTCTCTGTTAAAATTTATTTAATGTTAATTTAAATTCTCTGTAAATATAAATTAGTTGTTGGTGATGGTGTTGGGGCTGGTGGTTTGGTATGGTGGTGGTGTTGGTAGTTTCGAACGGTGGTGGTGCTGGGGCTGTGGAATAATGGTGGTCGTGGTGCTGGGGTTGTGGTGGTGGTGTGCTTTGTGGTGGTTAGGGATGGGGGTGCTAGATTTCAACTGTTGGGGGCTTGAAATTAGGGCTTGTTTCATAAGGTAATGCCTTGGAACTTTCTTTTCTTTTCTTTTTGCTTTTTTTTGGTAGGTATACCTTTCATATTTCTAAACAGCAGATTGATACAACTATGTCATTAGAGGAATAATTTTTGTAGCTATAAATGGTGTAAATAATCATTTTTCTTTAATGACTTTCCCCGCTAAAATGTTGGAATGCTTTTGCATGTGTTTTATACTTTATGATATTTCATTATTCAAATGGCTTACATATTTTCCATATCATGTGTGGCATCAGTTATCATAATCAATGTTTTTCATGTCAGCTATCTTAATATACATTTGAATTCAATTAATGAACAGGAAAAAAGCAAACAAAAAAAAATGTAAAAATTTGAAATGAATGTTGTGAAATAAATTTAGTTACTTACTTTATACATGTCATGGATCAAAATATCATTTCGAAACATCCAAAAAATTTCCATTTTCAAGGAGACTAAATAAATATAAGCAAATTCTTTTGATATTTTTCTTTGCATGTTACTTGGAAACCAACAATGCATTCATAGCTTTGATATCCATCTTTTTTAGTTTCCTATTAGTACACTTCATCCTCGTAGGTTTCTTATTAGTTATCAATGCTTCTAGGTCGCATGTGGTAGATTCACATGGGACTTTGATTAAATATCGATATGTTTTTTCTCAAGTATTAACCATTTTTATCCATCCTCGGGTTCTTTTGATTTCAATACTTATTGCACGACAGTAACTATTTGAAACGACAAGAAAATAAGTTATCATTTTGTTGTATTGGGGTGGACACATGCAATATGCATCAAAGGTTTATCATGCAATTGTCCTCCCAAAGGTGGAATTATTATGAATAGTGGCACAAAACTACCGGAGTTATTGAGTAAAATTTACACTATAATGGGGTTCGACAGGTCGCATAACAAGTTGAAGTTGACATGTAGATATCCATATACACTTGGAACAAGACCAAACGTAAATACATAAGGTGTTCTGGAAATTGTTAACGATGAACTTGTGACTTCTATGGTTAATGTGGTACTTGATAACCCCAGCATTGCTAGTATTGTTTTGTACATAGAGACAGAGAACATCAATACTGGCATAGGAGGTAGTCAAACCGGAGGGTGCCTAACAACCACTACCATATCTTACACTGATTTTCTTAGGTAAGAGATGGGTATACCGACATTTCCAACTTCAGGATTGATGGATGAATGTTCAACTCCCGTGGGGATGCAGGTAATGGATGAGTCTAGGCAGTACTCATACACCCACCAAATAACTAGATCTGCAACATATTGTGGGTACCCAACTAACAATTCACTGAGTCAGAATTTTTAAATGGGTGAGGCGGGAATTGAGTTGGGTGAAGAAGATGTTGTCCATCAACCAATAGTGCAACAAATCCCAATTGGGGAATATGCAAAAATGTGTGTCAATGATCATACAGATGTCTCTGATGATGAAGGTGAAGAAGAAGAGTTTGAAAAAGTAATGATTGTTGAGACGAATGACGAAGAAGTGAATGGTGACGACATTGAGGCTGGCCCGTCAGCTGTTCAGATGAATAAGCCTTCCTCCACCTCCTTCACAACCACTGAATTTGGTTAGCATTCTGAAGCAAATAGCTTTGTACCATCTTATGAAATAAATTGGTGGGATCTAGTGAAGATGGAGTTGGCAAATGGCATGATTTTTCAGGATAAAGCTTCTTTGATTAGGGCAGTTAAATGGTATTCCATCAAGTTGATTCAGAATTATGTGGTGGTCGAGACAAACACAACTATGTGGGCTGTACAGTGCACCATATACAAGCAGCCTAACTACGTGTGGAGACTATGTGCTTGTTTTAGGAAAAAATTAAAATATTTTAGACCAAAAAATATGATAGATCTCATACCTACTTCTACCCTCGAATGAGTCGTGACCAACACCAATTAGACTCTAATTTCATATGTCATAACATACTAGGACTGGTTGGTGATACACAACAAACAAAAATCTCAACAATTCAGAAGAATATAAAGGAGAAGCTTAAGTATGATATTTCCTACAAGAAAGCATAGATTGCGAGGAACCAAGTCATTGCTAAGATTTTTGGTGATTGGGACTCGTCGTATGACATGTTGCCTAGGTTTTTGGGTGCCATCAAGAAGTATAAACCTAGCTCAATTGTGGAATGGCAATATAACTATGAATCTCCTGAATATAATATTTTTTTACTATTATTTTGGGCATTTAAGGCCAATATTAAAGGGTTTAAATATTGTCAACCTATTGTCAATATTGATGAGACATTTCTACATGGGAAGTACAAGGGAAAGCTGTTAGTGGCGACTGATTTTGATGGTAATAAGAAGTTGTTTTTCATTACATTTGCTATTGTGGAAGAGGAGAATCAATCAAGTTGGGCTTTTTTCTTATATTACCTTCAGCGGATAGTTCTTAGACATCGACCAGAGATATGTTTAATTTTTGATAGGCACGTGGAGATCCTTTTTGCATGAACATGGAATATTCTGGGTGCCATCCACCGCATGCTTATCGTCAGTTTTGTCTTCAGCATGTTGTAGTAATTTAATACACAGTTTAAGGATGGACATTTTTACGATCTTATGTGGAGGGCTGGCAAGGCAACACAGGTTTGAAAGTTCGATGAGTTGATGACCCAGATAAGCAATGTCAAAGAGAAAATGACTAAGTACTTGAATGATATACCATTGGAGAAATGGACATAAACACATGATGGTGGACGACGATATGGCATAATGACTACCAACATTTCTGAGGTTTTTAATAATATTCTCCAAGGTGCTAGGTATGTGACCATAACTGCTTACGTGCAATCGATATTTTATCGGGTCCCTAAGTATCATTCTGAACGTTGAGATAATGTGGCAAAATGAAAAGAAAATGTGTTGGAGTTCCCTAAACGCGTTGTGGAATAAGTACAACATGCACAACAAATGAGCCGTGTCTACAAAGTGATGTCATTTCAAAGGGAACGTGGTCTTGCTGAAGTGGTGACTGGCGATGGTCAGAAGGAAGTTGTGTGTCTTGAAGATCATTCTTGCACATGCAAAAAATGGGCAATTTACAAAATCTCTTGCTCTCATGTATTGGCTATATGCTCTCATTTTCAATTCCATTTTCAGTTGTACATAGATCTCATATACATTATCTACACTTTGGCAAAAATTTGGGAGCCCAAAATGTATCCTATTAAGCATGAACATTATTGGGATGATCCTCCACATCCCAAATTACTCCATAATCTGAACCAACATCGAGACTTTGTTGGTCGGCCACAAACAATGCGCATACTGAATCAGATAGACTTCCCGCCAGAGGATCATCGGATATGCGGACTCCAACATCCCTTCACTAGATAGTGGGTCACAATTTTCAGAAGTGTTCATCCTTAAATATGCTAGCTCTAGTATCCCTTCACTAGATAGTCCCAAGTTATTTTGTGAGCTTGTTAAGTTGTCCTACGTTTTAATCAAGTGTATATTGAACCTTAAGATGTGGTTATATTGTAATAGATTTGTGCATGTTTTTTGAAATGATATCATTATGCAATGTTAGATGTTGAAAATGTAATATAACTCAATATATGATTGTTGATGTTTTCAATTGACGTCGTAATTGTATATTGGTTTTTGCAGATTAATTTAGTTCTGCATATGGACATTCCTTGTAGGCATTTAGTACATCTTGGTCCACATGACCACTCTATTCATTAGTTACAGGTAGAGCATCAATCAGAGGAAATATGGCAAGGCATAGATCCCCCTTCATTGCACTGCAGGCACAATGAGTGCACTGCAGGACAGTTACATATGACGAATGAGGGCGTTCTTTATTAATTGGATACTGTTGATTTTTACAGGGCACACAAGATTGCATCCAAGCGGTTGGACTGAGGTCTCATCACAACACTAGTTGAGAGATGGCGTGTGGAGACACACACATTCCATCTTCCTGTGGGAGAGGCCACTATCACCCTTTAGGATGTCATAGTGCATATAGACCTACCAATGGTATGGCGGTGTCTAGGAGGGATAGTTGTCCTGATGGCACGACATAACCAACACTATGCCATGGGGACTATAGACAGGTCGTTTCTCAAGCTTACTGCATTGCGCGGTCATTTAGATGGTGGTGTACCTGTAGATGTTGACGTTGCTTTCATAGTGTGTTATGCCATAGTGTACATCATGCTATTGATTGATTCATATATGTTCATACACAAATCATCTAGCAAGGTGAAGTTGATGTACCTTCCATTGATTATTGATTTTACCACTCTCGATCAGTACAATTGGGTAGAGCATCATTGTTCTGGCTATACCACGAGATGTGTGTCACTACTAGACGTAATGCTAAGGATATTGGCAGCTTGCTTGTTCTAGTTCAGATATAATTCAGACATATGTTTCATGTTTGTACTATTGTTGTTTTAAGTTTAATGTAATGTATAACATATGAGTTCCATTAAAAATTGTTTCATGTTTAGCTCACGT